AGTTGTTTGCTGGAGAACACTTTCCTCTTAGAAAGCTTGTGGTGGTTTGTGTCACCAGATAATAGCCTGCTTAAGAACATTGAGTAGTTATTATGTCATCTAGCTTGTTTGGTGAGGATGTGAGGTTCCTCCCTCCTGTAGAACAGATGACTCCAGCCCTCTGTCTGCTGGGAGAGGTCCCTGGTGTTTGCAATACTGGAGTATCCTTAAACAGGGCTGAGTAGAAGGCACTTGGGTAACAGTACAGCAGAGCAGTTTATGAACACAAAGCCATGTGCATGTTTTCCTGCACGCTCTCTTCCAGTTTTTATTTTTCTGCTTCATGCTCCTTTTTCCTTACAAAGAGGGAATGTTCAGCTGTGCAGGCTCAGGGTTTCGCACGGTGTGGCAGAGTGGGCCAGGGCCAAAGAGAATGAATTCTGAGCTAGGGATGGCTTGTGTGTGTATGTCCTTAGAATGGGCTTGCTTTTAGATCACAGAATATTTGGAGCTGGAAGGAACCCACAAGGATCAAATTCCCAAGGAGGTAGCATGGATGTCTCTGCCTTGAGCCTTATGGTGTTTTCCAGGCTGCTTGTACTTTCTCTGTGTCCTGCCAGTGCTCTCTGCAACAAATGCACAACCTCCACATTGCCCCCTGCCCTCTCCTCCCTACTTCTCATTTTCCAGTCAATCTGACTTGCCAGAATGGATGACTTCATATCTGTGGAATGATTTGCTACCCGTGGCAGCTCCTCTGCTCAAGCAGGCATCCCATATTGCTGAGGGCAGTGGTGTAGGGTAGCTAGGTGGGTGATGTGGTCCCTGATGTGGTTGCAGCTGTGAGTTGTAAATGTAATTGATATTTTTCTCAGTTTAGGTTGCACCCATTGCATGTGGGTACAGGGTCAGTGCTAGTCAAAGCCTCATGAAGAGGTTTGTCCTTTCTCCTGCAACTCAAGGTCGTCTGAGCTCCTTTTTGCTATGCTTCTGCTATTGAGCCAGCCTAGAGGCTGCTTGCTGCTGGTACCTACAGCTGGCCCTCCCACCTGTCCTCAGACCTATTTGATCACTACTGAATTTAGCCTTTAAAGTTCAGTAATTTGCTTAAATTCTTGTGCGATGCTCGACTTTGGTGGGCATCTGTAGAAGCCATTTGGGAGCAGTAAAGAACATTCTCAGTGGTTGGAGATGCCTCTCCCTCTTTTCCCATTCTGATGTCTTTCCCTCTTTCCTTTCATTTGTCCCACTTCAGTGCCTCATCACCAAGCATTTAAACCAGCTGCAGTTTGAAAAGCTGGTAGTTCAAAATGTCTGCAGGTAAGAGAGGTCTGTGGCAACACTGATGTGATGGTCATGCCACCCAGGGTTGCCCTTGACAGCAGCCCAACATGGGCTACAGCCATCTCCTCCCCACCTCTTCCAATGCATCCCTAGACTCTCTATTGATCCTCTGCATAGTCATTGGTGAGTAGTGATAAGCAGAGCAGTGCACTGGCAGAATACTGATCAGCTCAAGAGGAAGAGTGCTCTTGAAAGTGCACTTGTGAATAATATTCACACAGATTAAAATAATGGCCATAAGTACTATTCACCATGTCAAAAGATGGAAAAGGCAGTCAGTAACTGAAAACTGAACTCAGATAAAAATAATGATGCTTAAGCCACTGTAATAAACCTGTCAGTCTTCTCAGACAGCAAGCAAAAAAAAAATCCCTGTTAAAGAGATCAGCAACAGGGAGAGTCAGTTTGCTGAACAGGCAGACTAACCCACCCTTTGGACTGTGGTATGAGAGCACAGCAGTGCCCTGCTGATATCCATAGGGCGCTGTGGAAGTGCTGGGACAGGTCTTGCTGGCTGGTTTCCAGTAGCTAAGCAAGCCTGAGCAGAAAGCGACAGAAACACTTATCTGGTCTTGGGGCAAACAGGCACACCATACTGAGTTTTGTAATGAACAAACAAGTTCTGAAAAGGCCAGAAAAGATTTGACTATCAATCTTCAAGGAAAGGTGTTCTCTTTTAAAAGAAAGAGAAAACTCTCTTTCTCCTCCCTTACCATTCTTGATGTTATTAATTGCATCCTATTTTATTGATTGAAAGAAGTGCTGCAAGGTTAGCAATCTTCCATGAATTCAATAGCAATTTTGTGATTGTGTAGGAACCTTATTTGTTGTGGCTGTGGAAACTCAGTGGTTCAAGCCAGCTTGCTCCCCTGACAACTCCCTCTTATTTTTTTTCATGACCTCTTAAAATAATGTGTTGCTTTGTTCTGGTTTCCTATTATTCATGCGCAAGGCTGAGTTGTTCACATCCTCCCACAATTTCTGGTTGAATATAGGTTTCACAATAAAGTTATTCTAGACTTTTTTACTTTCTTGAGTGAGCTTTGATGTATCTGTTTGAGCTCCTCCTGCCATCTGGCATTCTGCATTGAGAGCCACGATCCACGGTGTTAACTCCTCGCTGGTATTTTCTCTTTTGCATATGTTTGGTGGGACTCCTAAGCTGCATCAGAAATCTACAGAAAACACATTCATGATGGCTCTAGTTCCCTCATCTTGGGCTTTATGACATTTTGTGCTGGATTGAGATGCTCCCCTGCTGAAAAGCGAACAACTAAAAATGCTCTTTCCTCTAGTTGTCTTGTTGCCCTACATTCCCACTCTCCTCCTGTTCTGCCATGCAGAAGAACCTGCTTTAGGACACAAACTCCACAACATGCATGGAATTAGATGGAGAATTTAGTGTTTGCCGTTATGATGCAATCAGTGGTTATTCTTAGAAACTTCTCATATGGTGAAGCAGAGATTTTACTATTGAGCTAGAAGACTGGCTCAGCTTCAATAATTTATGCAAAATAGTAAAATCTTTCTTCTTCTCCTCAATTCACACTCACTGTGGTGCAAGAGAGAATAGCGAGCGGATTAAGTGTTTTTTGGATGTAAATTTTCAGTATATGTTTGAGTATTTTCCCATTTGAAAAAGGTCTTAGACTTCACTCATGAGTACTGCAGTAGCTGTATTTCAGGGCAGAGGCCCATCTATCTATTTTCTTGAAATGCAAACCCTTCAACTACTAGGATGTGTATTCTTTTTACATATTACATTTTTATTAAAATGTGGTGTTGTGATAAGATTCCTCTTTCTCCAAGGAGGACTTTATATATACATATGTTTTTATATATCTATATATACACACACACACATTAAAAATGGGTTTGCCATGGGGGAAGAGGGCACTGAGTCCACAAAGCTAGGTTTTGTATATTTTATTCATAAAAACAGATTTGCAACAATTTATTAAAAATTGATCTCATGCAGTATAAGGTTATACAAGAAATTCTTCATTTACATTTTATTCTGGCAGTTCCAGTCTAGTTTAAAGCATTTGTGCACTAACATCATTGGAAAATGCCATTGGGGCACAGCCTCTTCATAAATTTACAGTACATTTTTGCTGCAGTATAAAAGAAGAGAAACATTAAATAGCTATATTCACTTGGTTGGTCTTGTTATCTGCAGTAAAGTAAAAAAAATGTTATGGGAGAAACTACAGTATCATTGAGACAAAGAATGTACTGCATGGTTTAAACCTAATAAACGTCACACAGTCAGTATTCACGAAGTTACAGACACACACACACACACACACACTCACCTTCAATGGTCTGATACTTCTGAATTTTTTTTCCTGCTAAGTTGGAATAATATTTCTACAGAGATCTTTGTGTATACATTATATACAATATCGTAATTTTCTCTTTTTAAAAATTAACATTCCTTTTAAAATAAACCAGGCCCTGATGATATTAATAAAGCAAGAGAATACTGTCAACACACATTGAGTGACAACGTCAGTGTTTAGTGCTTAAACAGAGTAATGAGTTCTAGTTTATCTGTGTTTATACTTACATGTTGGGTTTTTTTGTTCTAAAAGCTACAGATATTTCCATAACCTCTCTTACTGTATGTGCCAAGTGAAATATTTTGTGATGCTCCTGATTGTAAGATTCAGATATATATTCATGTTGGTTTTGGCCACTATGAGGTGTGTTTTATTTTAAATGGAGATATATGCTAGCTTGTCAAAGCTGCAGTTAAGTCCCTTAGCTAATGGACCTCTTCAGCTGTGCTTCAGTCATTGCTGATTCATAAACCCTTGTAGGAATGTCATTCCAAAGGTTTGGTCTGACATGCACAGGCATTGGTCTAAGAAAACTGAGAGCCCAGTGGGTGCTTCATTTGCTTTCCCCCCCATACTTTTAGCAAACAGCCCTGGCAGCAGAATGACACATTTCCAGTCTCTTGAAAATAGAAGCTGCATGTGTGTCTCACCTATGCCTGAGGGTTTGGCTCCCAAGTTGGTCCAGAAGGTACACCAGTATCATTCCTCCTAATTACTTCAGTTCAGGGAATGGACCTAAAGTATAAAACCCATTGTTTTTTTCACAGTCCTTTTAGGATTCAGATAAAATATTCTATTGGTAAATTTGGTTTGCCCTCTCTATTATCCGCTACAACTGTCACACACAGATACAAAGCAAACAGTGTATATTCACATCTATGTGCTCTGCAAGCTTTGCCTGCAGCAGCAAAGTGCTGTGCCCTAACCCCTCCCCCCAAAGTCCACTAAATTAATTTTATTGTAATTATGTGTGACACAATTCAAACAAACTAGGAAAAACAATTCATCCTATGACATTAAGACTTTACTATCCATCTGTCCTCAGTTTCCTGAGTTATCAGCCCTAGGACTTTTACAGACAGTTTAGTACGTTACGGTTGGTGGTGTTTATTCTGAAATAGGTGCAGAAACTTTGCTAAAATTGAAGCTGCAGATGGTCAGCAGTCACTACCATCGCCCCTGGAGTAGGGTGAAGTGCTCTGCAACCAGCAGCTCTCCAGCTGGTGACAACTCAGAGCTGGAGCTTCAGCCTCTGCTTGGGTTTCACGTACAGCTGCGAGTTAGAGGTGACCCTGCTCACAGCACTGCAGAGTCTCAATGACACCCGAGGAATCATTTCTCACAAATTTTCTTTCCTATCAAACATCATTCCTGAAATGAAAACAAGCAAGACTAACCAGTGCAGAATGTTTCCAGCGATTTAACACAACTCTTGTAAAAATGAGTTTATCTATTTCAACATGATATAGCTCAACCACTGCATTTTCCTTACATGGATACAGTATAGAATTGCATGTTCTCAGCAGCCACATAAAGCTCAGTGACGTTTGAGTGTTGGTTTGTTTTTTTTCCCTAGTGTCTTTTTTGCAAGATCTGTATTTCCCAGCCTCCTTGTTGCTAGTAGAAATTTCAGAAGAAACATTTTTCAGTGACTTCTAGGTGAAGAAATAAAAACTCCATGAATAAGGCTACAGATCAAACTCCTTGTGTCCTCCTTTGCCTTACCACCCGAGTTACATGGGCACTCCTGTGACAAGGGCCTCAGCGGTAGTTCCTCTGCGGTAAGAGCCAATGTTACATGTTTGTAGCAGAGTTCTAGGTCAGATGTTTAGTCCAGTCATTGAGTACTTAAAAGCAGTTCAGGAAGCACTGATCTCCCTTTCCTACAGCCCCGAAACCATCACTCGGAAGGACGGCGGCACGTGTCTGTGCCGAGGGCTGGCACTGGGGCTTACGCACGGACTGGCACAGCTAGCATCAACTCCTCCTATGGATGGCAAGTAGGCGTGATGAAGGATGGGCAGCTGCAAAGACAGCCGACGCTGTATGCTGTGAGAGAGACAGAGAGAGAGGAGCATTAAACCACAAGGAAAATGTTATACGTTACATGGTTGATATGTTTGCAGGTTGTTGCGAGGATCTTTCCTGTGCCTGCTGCTGTGATTGAGAGGGTTAATGCCAAGAGCATTGGACTTGTTGCTGTTGAGCTACACCACCATGATGTTATTTCCCCTTGGGGAATTTTTCTGACAGGCTAGATATGATAGAGGAATCTAAGGGTGCTTTCTAAGCACCCACAACCTTCTGAAATTCTCAGGCACATTCAGGTTAATTGTTAGACTGCTGACACCAGGAAAAGGGAGAACCTTAAGTTTGCAATGAGGGCATATGGCTTGGTGACTCCCAGCCTCTTGCAAAGTGATCTACTGCATGCAGAGCCCTGGCTAACTGTGTAGACATGCATGAGATCACAGACTGAATTTTAAGCCACGCTTCGCTTAGCACAAGGATATTAGCATTAAGCATGGCACTTTTGCAACTCCACCCAAGGCAAATGCAGGTGCATGGTGAGAGGGAGTTGGGACTGATGGCTTTTTCTGAGTAGTTCCCTCTTTGCAGTTTGGGTCTGTGCTTTTGAGGTGATGGATGCTTTTGAGTTCTGGCAGTCCGTGCTATGGGCCTGAGGAATTGGCACTCTAAAAGGAGTCTAACCTATCACCCATAACCAAATTCAGTGTTTAGGAACCCAACATTCTGTATCCACTTTCCTAAGCAGATTGACATCATGATAACTGGTATCAGATTTTTAAAAAAATGGATACTAAGCCGTGCTCATGGGCATCCATTCTAACCCTTCTCTGTGGAGAGGATGGTGCCATGAGAAAAGGGCTCTTCTACCCCCCGTGCTGTGGATACACTAGCACCTTTCACAAAATCAAAATTCAGTTGAGGTTTGCTAGTGCAAGGGATGTTTTCAGTCATTAAGATGTTATCGTATCAGGATGGCTTCACACTTGGAGACATTCACCCTTGAAACGCAGAGGTACTTTCTAAAGAGAAGACAGATGTCAAGGTGACTGAGCTGAACCAAAGACTGACTTTTTGATTCCAGAAGAAAAATGCCCATAGAGCACATTGTATCGGTATAACAGAGTTTTAAATTTCTGTTTCCCTGTTATTTGATATAATGACTGTATATAGACAAGCTTTTATAAGAGGTATATACTTGAAAGCTTGCCTTTGGACAGCCTTTCTGATTCAAAGGACATTTAATTTCTTTTTTTGTTTGTGTTAGGAAGCAGAGACAGATACCAAGGCATCCATTGCACTGCTCAGGCCAAGCAATATAGCTTTTGAATTCAAACAGAAAGAAATGTAGTGCTTTTCTCTTTGGTTTCTTCACTACAGACTATGGCTCGTTTATGCAAAGATGAAGTAGAAGTAGCTGTAGTCTGTCTATCTGGGAAACTCTCACTGTTTTCCCCCCTCAAACTCTCTTTAAAAGTTGTATGCAAAGTTAATCCACAGTGGTGATCGTTCTAGTGCTGTCACAGTATTCCTGGGACTAAACAAAGTCCATTAATTGTTATTTTGCTACTGTGCCCAACTCTTTCTGGTGCTACCAATGAAATCATGCCTTGTTCCCTAGGAGTGCAAAGGTGGCATGGCTCACTGCTTCCATGTGCTGAATCCTTATGAGCCTGATGCTGTGGATTGTCATTCTGTCTCTCATTGCAGGGTCAAACGCAGAATTGCCTGTGCTTATTTTCCCACCAGTGGAAATGCTTACTTTGTTCAACTGTTATAGACTTCTCATTAAAGAAGTTTTTGAAGCTATTCCAAGAGAATCCAGTTGCATAATCAAGTGAATAGGATTGGGTTTTTTCGTCCATTTCAGTGTTAGCCATACCATGGACAAAGCATGTTTATTTGGCTGCAGTGGGTGGCAAATTTTGCATTAACTCTTCTTAAAAGTTTACTTTCACTTGTAAACTTAGTTCCTGGAATTGTGGCAGAGAACTGTAGCCTGGAGACTAGCACACAATTAAGAGTTTAGACAAAACTCTTAGAGGGAAATAAAAACCAAAACAAAACATGTAGCAAAATCCAAACAAACCTGCTATTTTCTCCTTAAGCAAAAGTAAATCTTGTTCCTTGCCTCACTCTCTGCAGGGTTGGTGCCCAGCCTCACTTTTTGTGTTTTTTTTTTTTTTTTTTTCTTCACAATGTCTGTGGTTTTCCCCTTCTCCCACCTGAATGCTTTTCTGGTTTTCCAGAGAGGTGGTAGATGCCCCATCCCTGGAAACATTCAAGGCCAGGCTGGATGGGGATTTGAGCAACCTGATCTAGATGAAAATGCCCCTGCTTATTGCAGGGGAGTTGGACTGGTTGACCTTTAAAGGTCCCTTCCAACATAAACCATTCTATGATTCTATGAATTTTTTTCAAGTTATCTATGCTATATATATGTGTGTGAAAGCATATATATGGTCAAAGATTTTGGAGAGGGAACAGTTAATATTAGTGGGTCTAGAATCACATACAACCACTGAAAGAGATGGAAAGGAAAGATGGTACCACACACAGACAGCCCACTCATCAGGGTACTGTGTTAGAATCGGGCATATGTCCTCAGCTCTGTACAGAAATACCATTTATTGGAGAAACACAAAATCAGGTAAAATCTTGACTTCCAATGTCAATGCACATAGGAATACAGTGCAGATGGGAGTGCATGATATCAGAAAAGGGGCAGAGGCATTTGAAAAATATTTTGGTTTTGCTATAGAAAACCATTCATGAGATCCACTGTTAAGTAGAGGACTAAAACAATTGCTGCAACAGTCAAACATCTGAAGTTCTGCAGGAGTGTGAAAGATGTGTCTGAGCATTCAGGGATTATGTCAGTCAATTCTGCAGACCATTAATGTTGATTTTTAGCAACTGCAGAGAAGCTGAAGAAGTTCTAAAAGACTACAAAAAAAGCAAAATGTTGTACTAACAAGTCAACTAACCATTCTAAATCCAATTTATTTTAATGATAGACTTGAGTAGTATCATATATAGACTAATATGAACCACTGTCAGTGAAGAAGCTGAATAACAGAAGCATGTTCATGCTGAGGCATATGGCTGTAATGCAATAATCCAGCCACAACCCACTTTTTTGGGTGAGACTTTTTGGTTACTAAAATTAACATAACTGGCTCCAGCAGGGTATTTCACTGTCTTTGAAATGCTATTAAAAGGAGAGATTTAGCTCAAAAACATCAAGGTGGTTTTCCATTATAAGAGTTACACAGCAATTAGCTGCTTTGAAAGTTACAAAGAAGACTGCATATAGAAATAGTCTATTGAAATGGCAGGTTTTAGTGGAGTCTTGCAGAAATCTATCATCACCTTTGCCTAGAGATCTGGAAGACTGTTACATTTGTTCTTGAATAAGATATAGATTCCTCAGACTGCATGACTACCTATCATATGCCCTTTGTATGCAGTGAAATGAGAAAGAGAAGACAGAAATTACAGTTTGACTTTAACTCCTTTTTTCCTTTTTTTTGTTTTGACAAAATTTATATGTTTAATGACCATCAAAGGTCAGAAGTGCTGCCAGACAAGTTAAGAAAATGCCCATGGGTTCAGAAGAATATCTTAAAGAACATGAAGTTTGGAGAGAGGTAATCTCATGTCAAAAAGAGTGAAGTCCTGAAGACAGCTACACTTCTCTCTTACAGGTCCACTGTGCCTGGACTCTGGTACTCACACTGCCAACTCGTCCTCAGGGGAGACCTTGACCTTTGGACCTGGCACAGTCACAGCTGTGCAAATGCTGAATGACACTGTTTCAGTTTAGCAGGACTTTACTAATTGCTTTCCATAAATGTCAGTGACTCTTCAGATTTGTACTACTTGCTCTTCAGGACCTTCAAGAAATCTCAGTCTTCTCATCCATTGTCACTAGCCTAGAGGAACTTCTGTCATCAACAAATGTTTTTCTTTTTTTTGGTCTGTATTAAATCGGTATCAAGACAATTGGATTATCTGAGTGTCTGTGTTTTTCTTACCATCTTTCCTAATGTAAGGGGGCCGCATGCGGATGAGGCTGCATTCACACTACATTATTTCTGACAAATGGTGCTGAAAAAACACAGGCCTCTAATAGCTATGCATTAAAACACTCTGCTGACCCCGTGAAGTCATGAGAGCTTTCTCAGCAAGAGCCCTGCTTTTGTGAAGTTGCAAAATATTTCCTCTATTGTAGGCTTTTTTTTGTGGTGTATATGTGTGCATGTGTGTAGTTTGCAGGTTTGGGTTGGGTTTTTATTTCGGGTGCAAGGACAGAATTAGAAATCCACATGTTTTCCTGCATCAGGTAGTACAAGGCAGTACCTACCATCTGAAACCAGGGTTGCTGTCACTGAGGTAACATGTGACTCATTCTAGTAATTTGTTTAATTTATTCTGTTTTTAAATAAGCTTTTAAGTTGCCCAGGAGTGTGACAGCTATTAGCTCAGATCTGATGAAGCGATGTTCATGTAACCAGGCTGCCATGGGGAAACAGCTGATCCAGCCCATGGCAGGCCCTGCTCAGCTAGTAGAGGGAAGGACATGAGTTTATTGTGTAAGTGCCTAGAGAGAAAAGCTGGCACCCTAAGACTGTTTCCCCTCCATGAATCTAGCAAGTGCTTTGTACCATCCTTTCCTCGTAGCCGCAGCATTGTTCCTAAGGGAAACAACTTGGTGCAGGCTTTCCTATGCCAAAACTCAGGTCCAGCTGCTATGGCAACATTGAAAAGCCCTCAGAATGCTTTTATTTCTCAGCTAGTTTAAGATTGGAAGAGAACAAAATGTCTATGTACACCATGAACCCCTCTGGCTGGTGTGTGGAAGAACTTGGACTTCTGACAAGAGCCATAAGACATGGGTGCACATATGTACATCCTCTTCTCTCCTCCATACACTGGTGGTTGGGCTCAGCTTGTCCTGTAATTGTCTACAGAAACTTTAGGCATCATGCTATGGATATTTCTGACAAGAAAAAAGTATATTAGTTTCCCTTTGGGGCACCTTAGGGTCTAAAGTCCCTGGTACCCTTTAAATTTCAGTGGGATGGTGAGCTGGTGGCAGGGAGGCATCACAGTTCAACATTGCAGCTCACTGGTGCTATTCACATTCTCTGTTGCTGATGTTTCAGGCTTTCTCTGTAGCTGGAAATGGCTGAAAGGGTTTACTGTGAAGGTCTTTCCATAAAAATGCATGAAAGAGAAATAGGGGCTTTGATGAAATGTAATAATTTAAATTAACATCTTGTCAGGAAGGTAACTGGTGTCCAGCATGTAATTTATGGCTAAAAGAGCAGCAAGTCTATGTGCCCAAGCACATGCATACCCAAGAAAGCAAGGGGTACTTCATCTTGTACCAGCAGGTAATGTTGTATACTTACTGTTCTGGAGAGTTGATGTCTTCTATGGGATCTTTGCTTGTTCTGGAAGGGTCTGATGAGCCCCACTGTGCTGGCGGATTTTGATCAAGGTGATTTTTCAAAATGGCTTTCTCACCATCTGTATGGACAACACGTTCAATTTTACTTTACTGTGACAAAGTGACCGTTTTTAAATTGTTGCATTTTAACATTTCCTAGATATCCATAATGCCACATAGTAAACTCATTCTGCCTGTATTCCAATATAGTCTCAGGTTTTCCTGTGAGAGTTTGGTACTCTTATGCTTTGGATGATGTGTTCCTCTATAGGAACTATCATGAAGAAACAGAAGAGTGACAAAACCTCTTTTGTCCTTCCTTTGCTTACCCCCACCTTTCGAAAAGCACCACCAACCAAAACTTGTTGCCCACCTCTATGTAGCCCTATCACCCTCTCTCACCTAGTCTTAGTCTATGTGAAAATTTCATGCAACTGTACTGTTCTTGCACTCAGAAATTGTGAGCTTTTCATGTGAAAAAACCCCTTTCTTAAGCCTTTTCCTAGAAAAATTATAATCTCATTGATCTATAAAACCTTGGTGCTCTTAAAATCGCATAGGCAATTAAGTGCTGTCAACTTGACTATCTGCTATCATTTAGCAACACAATGTGGTTCATATTAGCTGCACTGGTCCATAGGCTGTCCTCAGGAAGGACAGCTAATGATGGCATTAAGCTTTCTCCTGCCATTCTCTTTTCTGCATAGTGATAACAAAGAAGATCATAATTTTCCCCATAGACAGCTACATTTGGTTCCCCCAGGTGTCTTGTGCTGGAGCCCATGGCACTGTTCCCCCTGAGAAACACAGGCATTTTAAGAAGGCTGTCTTTGTAGGGATCCTTTCTGTTCCTGCCTGCTTTTCCAAAGTCTCCTCCTATGTTAAGCCGAATAAAATCACAAGAAAGGCATCTGAATAATGAGGACAGTTCACAGTTTTCATAAATAATTACAGAGCGGCTCCAAATCCATCACCAGCAGTTGTTTGCCACACAGAGAAACAGTGATTGCCACAGGCATTGAGGCAGCACAGAAGATTCTAAGGTAAATTCTTGAAGAGGATACTGGAAGATTTGAACATAGAAACGGACATGAGGGGAGAAAGCAGGAAAATAGTGAAGAGAAAAGGAATATGGCATGAAAAAGCCAGTGCATTTTTGAAGGCTTAAGCTGCTATTCTGTTCTGCTAATGCTCAGAAGAAGCCCAAAATAATTCTCAGCTCCCAGCATGCTAACAGTATATATGTTATCAACAGGCACTGGTGGGACAAAACAAGCAGCAGAAACACAAAGTGAGGAAAGAAGCTGGAATCATAAACAGAAATATTTTGAGGGCAAACTCCAAGATTTATAAATGCTCTCCCAGTGTGGTCATCCCTGGCATTATTTGATAGCATGCCCTTTCTGCTGTAAAAACCTAACAAGCCACTTGGAAAGAAATGTGTAGGTGAGGATGCAGCAATGTGCAGGCATAGGGATCCTACAGCTCAGAGGGGGAGAGATTTTTCACTTATGTTGCATGGAATAGAAGGGTTTGGGTGAGAAAGGAGGTGACCAGAATACACGAAGCTGCTTCGGTTGGGGCAAGAATATGTCAGTAAAAGAGAGCTAAGAAGTTCAGTTGTAGCAAGATGAGTGCTTAAAAGGAAGAGATGAAAGGATTCAGTGAAGGTTTAGATGTGAAGGAAGGACAGCAAAGAGTCAAATCTGACAGTGGCTAAGATAAGCAATGAGGCCTATCATCTCAGGGCAGCCTGCAGTTCACTGGTGTGGCATTTGCTGTCACAGGAGTCCAGTTTTTATTTTCTATATATCGCATTTCTTTGTATATCAAGTTTGACATTTGCATAAAAAGCCTTGTGATGTCTATAAACAGACATGTAGAAAAGAACACTTTTTACTTCTGTGATTAAAACCGGTGTTTAATCCTGAGCTGATCTAAGCTGACAATGAAAACTGCTGACTTTTTGATATAGACCAAAATAAAAATTTGAGTAACCCTTGTAATTAGGGATGGAAAAGCTCTGATTTAACTATTTTAGGGTTCCAACTCCCTTGGCCAAGGTAAGAAATTTAACCTTTTACAAAGTCACTGAAGATATAATTCTTCTCAAATGACTGGAATATGCAACTGTTGCTGTTTGGGAGTGTGTGGTTTCATATATTAATCTGTGTCATACGCCCCTAAAGGAGTTTCATGTACTTTCAGATGTGCTGTGTGTGTGTGTGTGTGTGAGAGAGAGAGAGAGAGAGAGAGAGATAGAGAGAGAGAGGGAGAGAAGGAGGTGGTCCCTGTCAAAAAGGTGGGGGATTTAGTTTAGAGCAGAAATCATATATTCTCTGCCTACTCACCTCTCAACACCAACTGCCCATATATCACCATGTGTTACTCTTAATAGACCCTTTTCTACCACTCTTGCTGATGACTCTCCCTTAATACACTGAATACATTTCTGTATGCAAGGCTAACATACACAAGTTTTGATGTATATGTATAAAATATAGACAAAATCCACATAAAACTGCCACTTTTTGTTTCTCTCTTTCCTTTGCTTCTTTCAAAACACAAAAAAGTTGGATAATTCTTGTTTACTAAGCTTTTGGGAGAGGAGTTGTTAGATTTTTATTTTGCAGCTATGGAAACTAGAATATCTTTATTTTTCATTTACCTTTCATTTAAATAATGAAGAGCAAGATTCCCACTTAGTCATATGCTTATAGGAGCTGGAGTTTAAAGCAAAAATGCTGTTACCATGTGCACTTAAATAACTTAAGGATAGAGGAAACTAGTTTTATATACATGAACAACTGAAAGAAAAGAAGTTAAGGGTAGCGGTAAACATTTGAATTCCCAGTTTCCCTTGGAAAGTGTAGCACTGCTTTTGGTACTTTCCTATCTTCCTCTGTCCATTAAGTATGCCACTTGGAAAATGCCCTTCATTCTCAGAGTACTGTCTGCCACTGCAGATACTACAGACTAAGTTGCACAGGGATGATCTAACTTCCTTCTAAATTGAATTTACATTAGCCAGAAGCGCCTTCTAAATAATTTTCACCTTTGTAGACCTCAAACCGGAACTCAGAAGTCTGGATAAGTGATGCCTGAGCACTTTCCATTCAGAAAACCGTGGGGAAAAAAGACAAATAGATCTCAAGGGCCTCGCACAGCGCTCACTGATGGGTTCATTAGAAAACGGAGCTTGCTGCCAGTTGTCAGTGAGAGCCAGAAGGCTTTAGCTTAGGACCTTTGCCTATCTGAAGCAAAGAAAGAGCTTCCAATTACAAAGCTGTGAGCTGCAAGAGCACATCTGATGTGTGCTGCTGAGGGGCTCAGTGAGGAGGTCACTGCTCCCAGCTGCTTACTTCTCCCTCTGCCAGGGGTGACACTCGCTCCAGACATATAATCACTCTGCAACCTGGTACTGCCAAAATTACCGGGGCAGGCCTGAATGTGCTGTGCATTTTAACGACCCTGGTTCAGCTGCAGGCAGAAAGCACCAGGTGACGGATGCTGCTTCAGTTTCTTCCAGGAGTTTAGAAACCATAATTCTTTAACTAGAAGCTTGTTTTGTTGATGTTTGTACACTGCAGCTTTATTGAACATCTTCATCACTACACTTAAGTGGCAATATTCCTCCAATGGCTTACAACTGGATGGCAGAACTGCTCTTCATCCCACATCTTTCCATTCTGCTGTTGTTTCCTCTTTGCTAGATAGCATATTTTATGCTCCACAAAGAAGCAAGTGTGGTTTAGATTCTGCTGTTGTTTTCTCTTTGCTAGAAAGCATATTTTGTGCTCCACAAAGAAGCAAGTGTGGTTTAATAATGAGTTATAAGAGCTGGCAGAGATAACTTTGCTGATTTACTAAAAAGCTCTGGAAACTTTACAGCTAGAGGTAGATTTTTTCAGTCTACTGTAATTTTTCCCAGTTTGTTTAGACTGTAGAACATGACTAGGCAGTCTCTGATTATTATGTGAACAGGATGAAAAGAAAGTAAAAGGAAAGGAAAAATTAAAATGGTCACATTGTCTTCTGGGTATACCAGAAAAAGTTCCCCTGAAGTAAGCACACTGCACTGGCAGTCTAATAGTTATGTTTTGAGAGGAAGATTTATTTAAAAAAAGAAAAGCCACTAAGATTCTGCTCTGACTTATACTACTTTAAATCAAAAGAAACTCCCTTTACTCATTTCTGTGCAAGAAAGGGCAGGCACTGAACCTCTGACAGTTTGGTCTCCCTGTTGAAACAGAAACAAGCTCCAATTTCAGCATCGAATCCATTTGCTAGGCTTCAAAGAAACTAGTATGCATATTTCTATATACCTCTATATACAAGGGATATAAAGAACTCTATCCTTTCTCTAAAACAGCATTCCATTGAAGGAGCTATTTCTGAAAGCCTTTACCTTTGAATCTGTTTTTCAATTTCAAGCTTATGCTTGAATCACACAAACTTCATAGAAGCAGCATTTCCCTCCTCTATCATAGATGAACTCTGTTGTGCTTTGCATTTGAGAGCAACATGTCTTTGAAACCTGTTTTTCTTTGAGCTGCTTTTACATGGGGAAAAAGTAACACTAGGAAACATCGGAGTGGGGTGACAAGTGACAGTATGTAGGCATATCTGACATGTAAATGAATGCTCCCAGTCCATTTACAGTGATGAGTAAAGACTGCTTTCTAGCTCAAAACAGACAAGGCTTTCCGAGCAAGTAAAGGAGCCTGCAGAGAGAACTTGCATAAAGGGTTTGCTCATAAGTGGGGACTATTGCAAGGCTGTCTCTTGCTTCTTCTGTACTTCACAAAGAATGGCTGTCATTCATTCATTAATTGCCCTAATATGCTACTCTGATTTGTACTGGCAAAGGCAGAAATAGATGGACATTCTTCTGCAGGACTTCTTCTGAGCTTCACTTTATATGAAACTCTTGCAATCTATGAATCATTCATATGGAAATAACTTCATGTATTCAAATGTCAAATAGAAATCAAATAGAGTTAGATAGCAAGATTCCAAGTGTAGCAAAATTATCCCCCCCCATAGTATCTTCCTTCTGTGTATTTTTCTCAGTAGCTTTTACCTCTGTAGGAACTTGCACAGTAGAGATCACTTCTACCTTTGTAAAGTCTCTCCTGTTTCTGACACACTGCCATGGGTTCAAGAAGTCCTCTTGGGAAGATCTGTTTTTTATCAGTGTCAGGGTATTTCTTCCCTGGAACTGTGCAGCACAACCTTCCTCTTTACATAGCATCCCAGTTGCAAGCATCTGTCCTCCTCTTTTTCCAAAATGTCAGCCTGGAAAACACAGCCATGCCTCCAAGCCTGCCTCTCCTTCCTGAATGGCACTGTCAGTAACAGGGATGGCCTGAGCCAAGCGTTGGTCTCCCCCACAACCCATCCCTGCCTCAAACCCAGGCTATAATGTGGCTCTGCCATGCCATCAAGGCCACCAGATCACACAAATGCTGGAAGAGAAGTTAATGTTGCGCCGTGCACAGAACTGAGGTCACTAGCAGACACAGTGGCTCAAAGTCATCTGAGAAATATATCAAATGAAGTTAAGGGGATGCCCTTTTAAATTCAACTGGGGAAGCCATTTGAGGTCTCAGAGCCACAGTCTGTGGAGCATGTTGAGAACTGCTTGACCACACAAAGCTATCTAGCAGAGCAGCTAAAAGCCTGCATTAAAAGAAAGGAATCAAACCATAAACCGCAAATCACATTTTCCTAATTGCTTTTCTTACGTAGCCAATTGCTGTAGTTGTCTCAGGACATTATATATTTGTGAACAAGAGATGAGTGTCTCAGATATTATCTCTCTTTAAATGAGATGTACTGAAATGTGCTGTAAAGAAAAAGTCCCTGCACCACCAAAGAGCTCCTGGGCTGCACCAGGAGTTGTTGCTGTTAATAACTAACCAGGAATCCCAAAGTTATAAAACACTGCCTGAGGTCAGGCAGATATAGAAGTGCTTAGCTATGTCTACCTATTTGGGCTGAAGTAATTTAACTTTTGTATCCTAAATCCATATTTGATGTAAATGAGGGTGGTGGGGAAGGTAGAGAAGAATCAAATAACCTCCTCTGGCACTTGGCTATAGGAGTTAGGAATTTTAACTCCACAGTTTATACAGATCAGGAGCCTACTGAAGTGTATTATGATATTAAAGTTTGATTAGGGCTTGTTGGAGATGCATTGCAAAAGTCCCATGTTATGATCTGTTCTGTGAAGAGCAGTACCCTGAGTTTGTGTGAGCAATAGCAATGGGGATATGCTCCATGGAATTCTCTATGTGAACTCCTCCAAACAGCAAGGTATTTTATAAAGACAATTGACATAGGATCGAGCCACAGAGTGAACGTGGCAAATGATCTGCTATGATTTTTAGATCCAAGTCAGCTGTTATTTTTAGCATCTCTCTTCACTGTCCTATTCCCATTCTCTCAGCTCTCATTTTTCACAAGGTCAAGGTAGGCACAAACTTTATGATTACCTCAAAAACAATATTGGACTGGTTTCCCCAGTTGCACAGTGGGGATGAGAGACATGGTCACTTCTAGGTCATGCTAATAGATTATTTACAATTCTGAAGCTTCACTCGAGTACCATATTTCAAGGTTCTGTACTTTCCTTTACAGAAAATTACATGAAATACATAGCTACAGAAAGCATAGTTATGTCATTCAGAGTTAGCTTTCTTGTAGCCGTAAGGGCCAGAATTTTTTAAAGTACTATTTAAGCGATGTCTGTTTGAATCTGCACAGAAGCATCAGTGACTCAGCAGCATGGATTCTCCAAAGCCTTGTTATTTTGATTGGAATGGCAAATTTAAATTAAGCACATAGGTTGACTACTGGGAATGGGTGTGGTGAGAGAAACAGAGAGGAGATTCAGACACGTAGGTAAGGGACAGGGAAATGTGGAAAGAGGGAAAACAAGAGGCAGAAGAAATGGAGGGGCAGAAAAAAGGCTAACAAGGGTTGTTGATCATGGTGGCTCAGAGCCTGGAAGTATGAATATTTGATGTCACTTGAGTCAGGATCAGGATACACCATAATATGCATGCTTGGAGTATTTGCCACCAGGTGTGGGACAAAGCTTCGAACACCTGCTGCAAATTGGGCTGAAGGGAAAATGTCTTCCCCTGCCTCACCTTTTGTGTGGAGCTTCATGTAGTACATCCATTGAGAAAATTGTGCCTGGCAACTTCAGTATGCAGAATGATATCTACCCTGTAGATCCTAATAGTACATAGTTCCAAGCTACTCTGGACATTAAGGCTCTGTACTTACAGGTGATTTTTTAAATATGTGCCCCACAGCAGAAATGTAAAAGCTGTGAAACCAGGAGAAATTTAGAAACACAGACAATCTTGGATGTTGCTGCTTAAAGCAGTAGTTAGGCATCAATGTCTTTTGTAGATATAGCTGCAAGTAAGTGCAGAAAGGTTATAATTTATCCTTGATTTCTTTGCCAGCATCCTACTGCTAATGGAGTGCAACCTGCTGTGGGAAGCATCCCATCCTAAATTTATACCCAGCCTATCTCTCAAGAATCAGTTTTTGTTTCTCATACCCAAACTCAGATGGGCATTTGGCACAATGCAATATATCTTTTCTGCTTGAAATATTATTCATGATTTATCATTTTTTTCCTGGAGCATCTGACATGAGAGGAACATTCTATGTGTTCCTTTCAAACACTTGGTAAAACTGCCTCATCCCACTCACTGATGTTAGTTCTTGCTCCTGATCTGAGCCCAATAATCACACGCCTCCAGCAGCTATTTACGTTTTCCTTTTCCTCCTTTACCCTCTTCTGGTTTTTACTTTTAAAAAGGACACTGGGAACTCTATGGAGCTCTTCCTTTCTTTTCTTTTTGCCACAAGTTACACAACCCAGTGTATACCCAAGCTAAAACAAAAGGTACAAGAAAAAGTAACCTTATTCAACCAAAATTTCAATATACTTCAAAAACATATGTGAACTGTTGCTGTTGTTCTAAAATTATTCTTCAACAACTATATTTACAGGAGTAGCTTCTGTTCCACTTAACCAAGCTTATGGTGCCAAATTAAGCCTTGCAATGCAACAAACATGCAAATCTACAACTTCCCAGCACAGGGCAACTAGTTTTTCACATACTGTAGTAATACTCAGCTGTACAAAGCTATTTTCCATAAGTCACAAAGTAGATCCATTCTAGAGTCAGAAATGGAAGCTGGGTGTCCTGGCTTCCAATTTTATTGCACTGTGCACCAGATCTTATTGCTTTCCAAAAGCAAAATGGCTGTAATGGAAGCAATTCTCTCACACGTATTTCTTCAGGGAGCAATGCAGGAGACACAGTAGAAACAACTTAGGAATATTGCAGTTGTCGTGAAATCCTTTTTTATCAGTTCCTAGGGAAGAATTTTCATACATGAGTGCCTTCAATTCTGCATTTAGAGCCCCAATCAGCACTGAAATATATGCATTCTTCACTTTTACGTGCTTGATAGCAGTGTCCAAAAGCAGGATTTGAGCATCCTTGTCAGACTAGCACATATTAAACTGGGCCTCCTACTGCTGAAAGCTTAACTCTCGCAAGATCTGAAACATTCTGTGACTTTCCTCCTTCCATGCGGCACAGAAAACCTGACTTCTAAGCACAAGTACAGTTTTAAAAGTTTCCCACTTTACCATGTCTGTTACACACATGGGACATATAATAGAAGACATGCGTACAGAAATAACTTCTCAGTACCATATAGCTTTTTATGTGAATGTGCCTACTTTCTGTAATGCAACCAAAATATTTAAAGCTCTATCTTGCCAAGGTCTGCGTGCTCTGGAAACAATCCAATGAGATTACTATACCATTTCTGGTGGGTTAAGCTACTAATGGATTTTAGTAACTCTCACCTTTGCTATCTGTGAAGTTCCGTATACTAAGAATGTCGTTAAGATCCTGATAGTGGTTCTGCTTAATGTATGTTGTTTTCTCAGGAGTGTCTTGAAGTTGCATTGTGACCTCTTCCAAGTCTTTGTCCAGCTGCAAAACAAAGAGAGTACAAATCCCTAAAAATTCAAGGGTCATTGCTTCAGGTATCTGCACTAACTGCATAGTTTTCTCTAATTAGACTAGAAGGCAGGTGGTAATGCAATTACTACACTGTGCCAAATACAGTCTTCTTATAGCACGATTACACTACCTCTAAAAATCATGCTGCAAGTAACAAACTGTTCAGCTGTGATAATGCACATGGGACATATGAGAAGAATAAGCTTTAGTACTTGACAGTGTATGCAATTCAGATGTACTGATGAATGAGAAAGATATAGGCATTAGAAAGCTCAGTCTGAAAAGCTCTCATCTGTTTATTATTTATGTGTAAAATTGTGGCACACATAGCTATAACCACTTCATCAATCAAATTATTGAACACACAGGAGACTGTAAGTGAGCTATGGCATATCCAGCCATGTGAGTGACTGCAGCTAACTCTACCAGGAATGCTTTGCTTTTAGTACTGAGCATAGCACAGGATGCTCTCCTCAGGGCCTAACTTGTATTCAATTGTTTACAGCCCTAGTAGAAAACAACAAGCTACAAGCTTTCCAATGATCTGGGATGCTCTTTATGAACAGTTGTTCAGGATTGTGGTGTCCAGAGTTTGTCTCACTCACTACCGCCTTAACTGAATTTCAGAAGTGCTGAATTTAGCCTTACGTTGTCTCCTTACAGAACTGGGACATAGCAACTCAAGCTGGATGAGCTGGAGATGTAGCTGCTAGCCATGGTAGGGCATGTTCCAAATCCTCTTGACAATGAAACTCTGATTTGGAGCCACTGGTTCTGGGCATTTAATTTAATCTATTTTAGCAAAGTCCAAATGAGATCAGCAGGATCCTGTGTGCACTTGTTCTGACCAGCTTTAACTGTGCTCATCATCATGAGCCTTGCAAGGCACAGGCTGAGATTTTCTGAGTTAGGAGGCTTAGAAAAAACTACAATAAGGCAAAGGAACAGAAATAGCCAGTAGGCAGCCAGGCCTTCATTAAAAATTTCAAGGCTTTCACATGAAAGGGACCTGGCAAAGCTGAACTAAATTTCTTTAACAAGGCAGAAATAACTTTTGCTTTTGGAGTCTTTGGTAGTTTGAGTAATCACCTTTTAGCTACCTAGGCAATTGTCATTACTTAAGATCTGGACAAAGAAGTAATGGTCACAATAAAATACCTTTTCTTCAAGGTATAGGGACACTTCACAGACTAGGCAAGAACAGGTTAATTTCTATAAGATATAGATCAGTTATGGTTATCTTGTCTCACAAACTGGACAGTCTTCAAGACTGATTTGTCATTGTTTCAGGACTCCTGAGCAAGGATGGACATAGTTATAAGTACATATTATAGCTGTAATGGAACTCATGCACTCCATGCACTCAGCCTTTCTTTCAGTAGGTACTGAAGAAACTTCACAGCCTTTGTGCCAAGAGGGTCAGCTTACATGATCATAAAGGTCTTTTCTACCTTAAGAAAATATTTAATTCTGTTTCATGGAAGATGTAAAAATCTGCCTAGCAAGGTTTTGAGTGAACTCTTAGAGAGGCTGAGAAATAACAGCAACAGCAGCCTCTGAATCCAACCGTAAACAGGAACAAAGACAGCCCCTAAGTACCCGTGGGGCTGCAGGTGTCTGTTACTTTTGCACATAAAGGTTATGCTTCTGGAGCTACTGCTCTGTGCTGCTCAACAGGACCATGGAACAGCAGGGTAATGGGACTGTTACAAATGAATAGGGGAAGTTTCATGTTATTTTGCTAAGGCACACTTTTCATTTTATCACACCTGCTAAGTACTCACTATACTAATTGGCTATTCATATAAATCATCTCTTTCCTATTATTCCAGTATTTTTCTATGGGGGAAGGTACCTTTTTTTTTTTTTTAAACTCTAAAAAGTAGTCAGCATTTAAGCAGATTTCAGAATTGCAACGAAAATAATGAAAATATCAATTGCCTAGGCAGCATATCCAATAAAGAATACCTCTGTAATTTTCATTCTCAAGCGGTGGTTCTCTGACTGCAGTCCTTCTAGTCGAGATGTGCTGGCCTGATTGACGCTGGTGACTGATGTTGATGTTTTTGAATCTTCTTTCTTTTGATTCTGAGTGAACTGAAATCGTCTGTTCTGTGTGGCTGCATCTGGATTCGTTCGCAGTGTGATGAGCTGAAAGGTTGAAAAGCCTTAAGAAATCCTGTTTTATTTTTGAAGCTATTTCTTTTGTATCTCAAAATACTGAAAGACAAACCAAGAATTCCTTTCTGACTTTCAAGCACAAAAGTCTGGAAAGTGAGCTCTGCTTGCCATGTGAAGTACTTGAGATGATTTCTGAATAACTTTATAGAATAGGTTTAATGAAAATGACTTGGAGAGGGAAAGCATTCAAAAAATTAGGAAAAGCTCATTCAAAATATATTTATCTGGATTTTAATAATATTAAAATATATTGTGATATTTCATCAAACATATTTTTCTCCTTGATTGATATCTTTATACTTTCAAAGGATATATTCCTCCTTCAAGAAAAAAACAACCCACCAAGCCCTTCTCTTTCCAAACACAGGTTTATCTAAAATTTCTCCTTTCCTACTGTTACAAGTAACACTCAAACAGAGAGGCATGAAGCAGGAGTATTAACAGAGAGAACTCATGGGAGATTACACTCCGGAGATAACAGAAACTTAATTAGTTTTTAGTGACCCAAAATAAACCAAATCTGTTCAAACAAATTAAATGAACCACTTAAAAAAAAGGTTAACCTTAAACATATTTAATTTAAGCAAATATAAGTAAGATTTAACACTCAGTGACAATGTGAAAATATCACCTCAACATGAGGAGAGAAAGCTACTAGCTGTTTGGCAAGGGGGAGAGAGCTTCTCAGATTACTCTAGAGAATACAAAATTTACATTACTTGCCAAGCAACATAGATATATATTTGTATACAGACGAAGCTGAAGGAGCTCCCAGCCCTGAGAGCATGGGCATGGCATCATAAATCCAAAGGTGTTGAGTTGTCTGAGCAGAGAAAAGGGGCAATCATTTTGTAAGCACAGCACAGCCCAGAATTTGTGGTAGAGATGCATTTTGGAATTGGTTCTTCTTATTCTTAACAGCATGAAGCTGTTCTGCAGCTGTGGTGACTTGAAGGACCTAACTTCTGCTCGAGAGAGATCTGACTGGTCAGACACTGAAACATGTGGTCCCTGGCATGTATTTACCTACCAAGTCTGCAGATTGGGATGATGCTTGCAGACAATGAATTTCCTTTTTCAGGTGGTAAACTAGATGGAGAAGGCTAAGGTACTCTGTGCTGCTTTTACCTTTGTCTTTACTGGTAAAACTTGCCTTCAGGAGTCCCAGGCCCCTAAAGCAACTGAACACAACAAGTTCAGGCAACCTGACGAGTTGTATCCCTGAGGACTAAGGGAATTGGTCAATGACATTGTGAGGCTACTCTCAGTTACTTTTGGAAGATGATGTTGATTGGGAGGAGTTCTTGAAGACTGGAAGGAAGGAAATGCCACAACTGTGTTCAGGAGATGTGAGTGGAGGATTTGGGGAAATGCCTCCTTTCCACCTTCACCTCAGTCCATGGAGGATGCTATAGCTAATCCTGCTGGGAACCATTTCCAAACATATTAAGAGGAAGAAGGTGATTAGAAGCAGCCATTTTTATCTATGAATGAGAAATCCTGCCTGACCAACCTGATTTCTTCCGGTTCTTCAGTGAGATGTCTGGCCTGGTGGATGAGGGGCAACAGTTATTTTTCTTGATTTAAGCAAAGATTTCAACACTGTCTCTCAAAACATACTTATAGTCAAAATGATAACATAGTGACTGGGTAAGTGATCACTAAAGTGGATTCAAAATTAACTGAACTGACAGGCTTCAAGGATTGTGGTAGCCAGTCGCTAGTGGTGTACCTCAGTGGTTCACACTAAGATCCATACTTTGTTAGTGACCTGGATAGTGGGACAGAGCAAGATTGCAGATGATCCTTAAAGAGGAGGAGGCATTGATGCACAGATAATTGTGCTGCTGTTAGTGAGATGTCAAGAGACTGGGGATCTGGGCCAATAAGAATCTCCTGAAGCTAGGCAAAGGGAAATACTAAGTCCTGCCTTTGGGGAGAAATAAATTCCTAGCACTCACACAATGTCAGGGATGTTTGGCTGGAAAACATCCCTGACATAAAGCAGTGCCACTGAAAGCTGTGGTGGACACCAAGTGATACATGAGCCACCAGTACCCTGGACCAATGGAGGTGGTCCTTCCTTTCTACTCAGCCCGGGAGAGTGCATATCTGGAGTGTTGTGTCCAGGTTTGGGCTCTGTAGAACAGGAGAGACATAGGAGAACTGAAGAAAGACCAGAGAAGGGCCATAAAGATGCTGAAAAGGATAGAAACCTTTATGATACAAGCAAAGGCTGATGATTGTTTAGCCTTGAGATAGAAGAGATTGGGGGGACAACATTATTCATGTGTATAAATATATGATGGAAGAGAACTAGGAGGATGGAGCCAGGCTTTTCTCAGTGGTGTGCAACTAAAGGAAGAGAGGTACAAGCTGAAAAAACAGAAATTTCACTTAAATATCAGAAAAAACTTTTTCTATTGTGAATGCAGTCAAATGTTGGTAGTGATGCTCAGAGGGGCTGGGGAGTATTCACTTCTGAGGATAATCCAGACCTAACTGCTCAGGGCCCTAGGTATCCTGCTGTAGCTAAGCCTTCCTAGAAGCCCTGCCTCTTCACTCCCCCATTTCTTTGTTTCTAATTAGGCTGGTTTGTAGTTACTGGTGTGTCTAACTCCCAGAATAAAAGCTGCATAAAAATGAAGTTAAAGGTGAGGAATGGTCATTACAAGGCTTCTTAAATTAGCAGGCAGAAGTGTTACAAGATAAAAGTTCTCCAATTTGATCTGGTCTAAGTTGAAACTGAATATAAGATAGAATTATAGCCATCCATCAATTGAATCATCTTAACCCGTGAGTTTATAGCTGAAGACTGGATGTTTTCCAACAGGGACACATGCTGTAATGAATTCATTCACATGGTGAGGATTAGATAGAAAAGTCCATGGGCAATGTTGTTGGCTCATACTGTACAAAGAATGAGGTTAGATGAGCTTTTTCTTTTTCTTTCTTTTTCTTTTTTTTTTTTTTTCTGGCCACAAAATCAGTGGAACTTAATATCTTACTGTCTTATATCTCTGCAGTTTCAATTTCAACAAAGGGTCGGCACTGAGTATCTACAAAGAGTCAATTGCAAATAGACAAAAAAATACTACCAACACAGAAAATGAGTTTTGATACTTAGAACTGATTTTGCCTTACTGCTCTACAGGAAACTGGATCAGAATTATGCATTAAGGCCATTGCAGCCAACAATGGTATGTACTCGTGGGTGACTATGAGTGAGCACAGTGTTGTGTCTTAAAAGGGATGGAGTAGAAAAAATTAAAGGAGATGTAAGTTTAATAAACATGGATAAACACTGGGCAATTACTTCATGAAGAGAGAATATACATTAGGATTGCTTCTTTTAAAGAAGTGATGAGTATGCTGAAAAATACTATAGACATATTGGCCCTTAAAAAGATAATTAGACATAGCAGTTAACTTCGAACAGGAAAAATATACATAATGTGTGTTTCAATTCTGCAGATCACTTCTACAAGATATCCTTGAACTCAGAAATCTATCTTGCTCTGCTATGGGATTTTCCTCATATTTTTTCTGAGGCACTTGGTGCTGAACGAAATAGCAGTGGACGAAGTGGACATTTAACTGGAGAGGTATAGTAATTGCCATGTTATAAGTAAATAAGATTAGTAGACCTGACAAGAAGGAAGGGGAAAATGTCATGTTTCATTCCCTAGTCTGTCTACATCGTTGAATAGTTGCCTATTGAGATTCATAAAAGGGCTGTGGGGCAAAATTGAATTTCAGCACTGTTGACCCAGGAGACTGCTGAAGATTAGTTAAAAGGAATGTTCTTTACTCAGTGTAGCAGAGTAATAGCACTCACCTGGCTCAAAACCACATTACTGCTTGCATCTGTCTGGTCACAGTTTAATAAATGAAAAAGTGCAGTCTTCTAAGCCTTCATTAACATCTCCTGTGCTTGCTGAGCCACGGCCTTTAGTATTTCAGTAGCAATCTTCCTGTGTCGCCAAAGTTGTACTAATTGATGACACACTTGTTAAGGGGAGAGATTTTGTGCCTGTCTCACACTAACATCTTGCCTAGATGTACAAACTGGGTGGATGTAATCTTCTGCAGTGTCCAGACGGGCTATTGTGAAACCTGTGCTGGAGCAGGTTGCAGGAGAGAGTGCTTGCCAGTCATCCTGCTGTGACTGTGGCACAGCACGGTGAGAAGAGATGTAGGACAAAATATACAGGTGCAAGAAGAAGAACTCTCCAGCTGTGAAAGCACTCACATGGGCATTGGAAATGCTGCGTTCCAGCTCCTACTTCAACTCTTTATTTTGTACCTTATCCAATGATGAATTCTATTGCAAAGTAGCTAAGCATTTGGAAATCTGACAATACCTGGAATGAGATTAAGTGCTTCACACTAGAGAGCTATGTTTCATGTTTGTATTTTGAGCAAAAAAGAGCTGAGAGGGAAAATGAGGGCAGGGTAACTGGGATTTAAAAGACGAGCAGATGAAGGGGTTAAAAAAGAAAACAGAAAAGTAATTTCTGAGCCTGTGACAGCAGAAGAGAAGGATGGGCAAAGGAGCACGAAAGCAAAGGGGCAAGGAGCATGGACAGTATTAATAATTCCCTTTGAAGAGAGTTCTGACATTCTGTGGAGGTATTTTTGGCATTGGAGTTTTCATATGCATTTTCATACAGCTTACACACTTAGATCTTGCAGTATTTCAAAGTACACTCTACTGCTGTGTTTGTGAATGTTCCCTTAATTTAGAATGAAGCTGTGACTCTTCCCTAAGATCCAGAATAAAAATAGGACTATACATGTCTGTACAGCTTTTTAATATTTTAGAAGTGAATTGCAGAACTTGTAAAAGCATTCTGATTATTTGGTCCTGGTGAACAAATTAATGTGCTTTTTTTCAGATCAGAAGTCAGCTTCTATTGCTAGTCTGTGCCTCCAATTTCCTTCACAGGGTACACTTAGAGATAAATTTATTAGCTTGTTTCTTTTATACATTTAGTTCTTGGTCCCCCTGGTAGACAGAATGCCACATAGCACCAGAATCTACTGCCTACAATTTGCTCAATATATTGCTTGAACATGATCCAGTAAAGAACCACAAACTTTTAATCAATACTAATTTGAAAAACCTAAAAACAGATTCAGGAGGTGAAAGGACCTGCATTTTGACTCTTGCCTTGCAAATGTTTCAGACATCAACTGCATATGTATTTGATTTGGGCTGATAAGTTATGTTTATGCAAGTCACTTAAAATGAATACAGTTGCACATTTTACTTCAAAATATCAAATACATTCCCTAGAACCTGAGGCTTTGCTAAAGTAAGCTTGTATGGAAACCAGTTTTCCCTTCATTCAAGATCTGTCATACTCATGTCTAAAGCTTAACTCTGCAAGGGAAATGATCATGTTCCATCCCTTTGTGGGTAAGTGTCTCCCCAGTTCTTCCAACAATGCACAATGAACACATCCTCGGAGCCAAAAGAGGAAAAAGAAATGAAAACATATGCCTCCCAATCTGTGCCTCAGACCATAATATACCCATTAATAAATATAACTTGTGTCAGCAGTTATAGCATACATACAGTTTTCCTCTGAAGTACCAATAAAGCCTATTGTACCATCATACTTGAATACCTTAGAGGTTTCAATACAGTTAACCTTATATCATGCAGTGAGCTAAAAAGGTTTTACTGTTTTGTAGGTATAGAAACAGAGATCTTGATTATCTTGCTTAGAATATGTAAGAATCATAGAATATCCTGACTTGGAAAGGACCCACAAGGATCATTGAAGTCCAACTCCTGGCCTTGCATGGGACAGCTTCAAGAATCACACCATGTGCCTGAGAGCATTGTCCAAATGCTTCTTGAATTCTGTCAGGCTTGGTGCTGTGATCACTTTGCTGGGGAGCCTGTTCCAGTACCTGACCACCCTCTGGGTGAAGAACCTTTTCTTAATATCCAACCTAAACCTCCCCTGAGACAGTTTCATGCCATTCCTTTGGGTCCTGTTGTTGGTCACCAGAGAGAAGACAGATGAGATGTGGCAGAGTAGACAACAGGACCCATCTCTCCTGAATCTTCACTTATAACTCTTTCCAAAAAGTTCCTAACAGTTGGAAATAGAAACTATTCTGTTGAAAATATAGAAAACATCCTTTGTTTTCCCAGTCACAGTTTCAGTAAAAATATAGGCATTAGAAACTCATATATTCGCACTCCTGTAACTTTGGATATTCCACTTTCTCCAGAATCTCATGAAGCTTTGTTTTTCCCTCAGGGTCTGGGCACAAGAGTTTATAGATGGGCTTGATTAAGAATTCACACACATCCCATGCCCTTGAAAAGGAAATAAACATTTACATATTAAATTGTAACTGCAAAACAGAAGGAGAAAAATCCAGATCCATGAAAAAGAAATTCACCTACCTTAGGTACAAACACAAGGCAGAGAGTAATGGTGCTGCAGAATATTATGACTAGAGCAACGATGCAGAACTGCACATTGGGTTGGTCCCGAGTAAGGAATGAAACAGCAGCACCAATAATGCACATTATCCCCACATTGTACACACTCATTCCAATGTACTTGCTGTCATTCAAAGCATGAATGCTTACATTTCGTTTCTCCCAGGCTAGGAAACACCCAAATAACTGTAATGGTAAAAGAAGGAGAAAAGATGATAATTATAAGAGGAATTGGCTGTCATCCAGAAAAAGCATTAATTTAAAACTGGTATGTTTTATAACTTGACAAATATAGGTGATATTACAACACAGAGATATACACCTACCTTTTACTCAGTGTCTAATTACCTATGTGATTTGTTTTGCTCACTAGGACAGATTCCTGCTCTCACAAGAGAAATGTGAAACTTTGAATTACTCCTGATGGGAACAAATTTCTCTAAATGGTATGTCTATCTTTATTTAATACTTTTAGTAATTTTTAAACACAGTCCTTCTTGTTTCTTTTCTAGGATTCCAGTAAAGATATAATGTGCATTGTTCTTTTAGCTATTTTTAGCAGCTGTTCTCAATATACTCTTATCAATCCAGTCATTCATTATGTGATTATCACCTACATTAATAAGCAGCAGTGCCAAGATGTGTCCCATGAGAGATAAATATACAATGTAGAAAGTGTCACCCGAGTTGTTCAGACTGCAATTATAATGTCTTTTATTATAGTGGGAGTTGGTAATGGCCTTTCAATTGCAGTTGTCTAATGATTTCTGGCATAAAACATTCTTGTGGCAATTTTTTGTTTGCTTTTTTCCTTTGGTGTATTTTTAAGTTTTAGCCCCTTTGTTTTTTGCAATATGCTTTTGCAATTCATTAGAGGAAAGTCTTTAGTGAAAGGAAGCTGTCTTCGTCCCTTGAAATTTAACTAGATTTTTTTCTACAACATGAACTGCTGCAAACAATTATTTTCTTTCTCTTGCATTCCTCAGAGAAGTTCTGGCAACACAGTAAAACCCTAAATGAACTCAAAACGTCATAAATAGGTAACCCAGCCTACAGTCTAGGCAAAGACCTGTAGGAGTGTATAGTGCCTTGGGAAGAATGACAGACAGCAGATGGTATTGGAGGGAAGGGAAGGACATAGAGGGGAACCATCACTAAGACCCAAGGAATGTTTTCTGTGTTTTCTAGCTTTTTCTGATCACAATACAGGGACAGACAAAATGGAGAAAGAACAAAGATGCACTCCCATTGACCTTGGTACCCTTCCTCCCAGACCAACACAGTTGTCCACTGCCATGTCATGGGGATAATATTCTCTTTTATGCATCTGCAATCCATGTGGTAATCCAGGAAATTGAAGGTTAGTGATGATGCCATTTAGGGATTAATTGCAGTGGCCTAGTAAAAATTTGCCTTCTGGTTTTTTTCTGTGGCAAATAACCTGGACAAGAAGAACAGTGTTTGGTTGCCAGACAAATCCAATAGAGTAGGGAACTGGCAGATTGACATTTGCTCTACAAACTTGGGTTTCAACTGTAGTAACAACTGGGCATTAGTAACTGCAAATTTCCTTGATTATTTGCTTAGTTTTCACCTCAACCAACAACGGCAACAAAGCCAACCACTCATGACTAAACTGTTTTGTATTCCCAGGGACACTAACAGGGTGTGGTCACCTACCTACTCACCCAGGCATTTCCAACCAGGACTTACTGCCCATCTGCCAGCCCTGCTCTCCCAGTGCTGAGCTTGTCTGCTAGCTTATTTAATTCTCTTGCCTACACCACATATGCTACCCTGCCACGTGTTTATGAGCAAACCTGTCTGGAACGCTTTGCTGGATTAGGCTTCTATTCTCAGCCCATGGAGTATGGCAGGCTGCAGGTGCTGCCCAGCCCAGGCAAGCCTCTTGCTCACCCCCTTTCCAATGCTGCCATCACTGCTGCAATCCATATCAAGACACATTGGCAGGGTTGGCCCTTCCCAGTTACAGCAGCAGTAGTTGCCCTTGCAATCCTTACCCAAGTCTTTCTCAGCGACATTCTCACCCTATCCCCTTCACACACTCCTGCAGGAGATGGTCCTATCCAGAGCACTCCCTTACCTCATTGTCACAGTCCTGCCTTTTATATTTTATCCATCTCTTCTAGTAGGACTAGAGCACACACTTCACTCTGGCCCCTTGTCTCTTCTCCTGTCCTTCCCAGCAGCCTAAGAAGTGAAGGAAGAACAGTAGTGGCTGCTGCAGGCAGATATGTAAGGGGGCTGCTCTTGAGGGGTCAAGGTGTCTGTAGACAGCTACCTGTGTTAGCAAAGGGTTTCAGCCATTCAGATAGGGCAGGTGAGGTGAGTGAGCCATTTATTGAGCTGAGTAGCTTTGTGCCAGAGCAGCAGCTCATTCCCTAATACATTTTCAGAGCCCCTCTGGTAAACCAGGTAATACCTCCAATAAGGAAGGACAGGAAGCACTCCTCTGCTGCTGGTTCTGGCACAGTGCACAGGCAGAGCAGGGAATGTACAGACTCCTTTACAGGCTCTGCAGGAGCAAATCACTCACTATATTCACCTGGCTGCATTGGGGACATACAGTGATGGCACCTTTTTCCAGGACACAAACCTATTCCTCCCAGACACCCACCGCCTCAGTGGTTGCCTGCTCTGCACTTCCTGCACTCTTGGTGCTGCCCAGATCAGCTGTACTGCAAATTTACATTTCACCAGGCCCTGAACTGACAAACAGGCTGGTCTTGAGGGGTAGAAGGAAGTCTTGTCTGTATTTCCACATCACATTTTTAAAGGGATGAGACCCTGATTAACTACGGAGAAGATTTCTATCTTCCCCTACTGCAGTTAATTATTAATGAGATTTTTAGGGTCATAGGTCATCCCTCTCTCTCCTCCACTTCTCCCAGTATGAACAGATTCCCTTCCAAAAGCATTATTCCGGGAATACAGCCAACATACTTACATGAGGCCAGCACTTATTACAAATAATGGGGATGAATTTATAGCTGAGGCAGTTATAAAGCGATCTAAAATACCAATTATAATGGAAAAAAGATCATTTGAAGAGTGTTGTGAGGGTTACGGTTTAGCCAATTCTCATTTATAATTGAGAACAGCATGGAAAATGGTTAAGTATCTTCCAGATGAAAGGAAGATATTTATTTATATGATTACTAAAGAAAGGGAGTGGTTCTTGCAGCAAGTGGGTTTCCTCAGAATGATGCACTATAATTTGAGAGCATTGGTTTTAATTTTTATTAGCATTTTGGGTAAAATGCTTGTTTCAGGAAGAGACATCTTTTCTAGAAGTCACAGCTCATCTTTGAGACTCGAACATGGATAAAAGCTGTGAGTTTTCTGCAGCTCATCTTTAAGACTTGAATATGGATAAAAGCTGTGAGTTTTCTGCAGCCCTGCTGCCAAGGCAGTGGTGATCACAGAGGTGCTCCTTGTTTACTTGCTACAGATGCCTGCGGTGCTCCATGGCATTGGGAAGATTTCTATTCTGAGATAAAGCCTTCCCAAGGGAACATGACACTTTGCTTTCTCTTCATCTGCCCTTCTTATTTTCCAAGACTTGAATATGGATAAAAGCTGTGAGTTTTCTGCAGCCCTGCTGCCAAGGCAGTGGTGATCACAGAGGTGCTCCTTGTTTACTTGCTACAGATGCCTGCGGTGCTCCATGGCATTGGGAAGATTTCTATTCTGAGATAAAGCCTTCCCAAGGGAACATGACACTTTGCTTTCTCTTCATCTGCCCTTCTTATTTTCCCCCTTTCTGAGGCTCAGACAATCTGCACAAATGAAAGATTCACTTTTATGACAGTAAATCCCTAAAATGACTTGGTTGAGGAATGGGATACCTTGTTAGTGAAAGGTCTAGATTTCTGTGATTCCTTGACAAGTTTTGAATATGAAACTTAGGAGCTACAGGTAAAAACACAGACTCATAGTACCTAGTTCAGCTTCTCTTTACTCCTGGTACCTAATCTTTAAACATTAATCTTCCCCAGATAAGTAAATCACATTTCAAATTATGCTTGGGGGACTTAAGTCTTGAGACTGCTGTGCAATTTAAGGACTATTTGATATTTAAGGGCTGCCTGCTGGGATTTGCCATGCAGCTGTATCTCCTCCTATTGCTCCTAGAGGGCTCAGGCTGATAAAGGCTTCTCAGACTGTGTCTACTGGCTTGGGCCCCATTTGAAGTACAGCAGCAGCCATCTTTACAGACAGTGATGCTGGTGATGACCATTGCATAGCTTCATGTTTGGAGAACACAGCACAATTCCAAATTTTGCCTGAGGTGTGCTCCCTAGCCCCAGAGTAGAGGCTGGATTCAGAAGAAGCTCTCAAGCTTCTTTTAGAGCTGTCAGATTTTATGTAATGAAAGAGTGACTGTCTTAATTACTTGGGCACTTGCGTGGGATGTTAGTTCTGATCTCTGCTGAGAATTTTGATTAAACAGTCTTTAGAGAAGGTGTGCATGAATACACATTGGGGTGGAGGCAGGCAGCTCTTAGCAGTGCTAATGTGCTGGATTTGGAGAGGTGTAGGACACAACTGCAACCACTGTTTTATACCAGGTCACTTAGGCAACTCCTTGCTGGCAATTACAATTCCCATCCTGAGGCTTCTGATGGACCCCATGCATCACAGGGGAAGTCTGAATTACTCAGGGCTATGCATTCTCCTATGGAAAGCAGTTGTCTAAAATTTAAGGAGCACAATGGTCTATTGTCAAGTCTAATGGCCTAATTTAAGTCCCTTTTGGGATCTCAATCAATGACACATTGAGAATACAACTAGCAAGGCTTCCTACCTTGTTAGTCATGAACTTAAAGCCTTTTTCTGTTTTGGTCTACTAAATACATATCTTGTTAATGCATAAAGTGTTATAAAATGTTGTTTTGGATTTTCTCTAAAAGGTATGGGTTGCTGTAGAGGCAAAATTAGTTTGTTTCATCTTTTGTTTGAGGGTAGGCAGATTCCATTTGACACTACACTGATAAAGGATTAGCTTTGCAGCACTTGATATGTTAGGTTTAGGTTGTGTTGTCAGTACACTTAAAAATGTTGTGAGACAACCATTGTATAAATTCGGGGAAAACAGTATCTGAAGACAAAAGCATTATACCACTGTGACTAAGGATAGAATAATGGTCACTAAGATAAATCTG